CCGTCCTGCTTAACACACACCTCTCTGTAGACACACACACACACACACACACACACACACACACACACACACACTGGGGTCAGCAATCTCCAGCTGCACCAACTCAAAAGAAACATTTGTGAACTATTTTTACTGTCTGAGAAAGAGAACAAATATAGTGCAAAACAGATATATTTTCCCTTTAGATTTCCAAGGCACTCATTAAAACCAATTCAAGACATTATTACTGTGATGCCGAATCAAAATAGTTTGCATCACTGCAACAAAAAACTGCAAAGCATTGTGGGTAGAGTGGGCATCATAAAGCTACAGGGTAGCATAATTATGATCATTATAAATCCCAGAATGCATTGCAATGCGAACAGTGGAACAAAATCAAACAAAACAGAGCTATTGAGTCCTGGCCTTGAGAGAAGCATGTACTGATGAAGACACTGTGGCAGATTTTGACAGGATAAGATCACCCTACGGATCACTGCGAGCGTAACACAAAGACTGCAGCTCGAGTGTGAAATTCCTGATCTGAAGCGGCCACATTCTGATAGAAGTGTGGCAAATGTTTGAGCTGATGCTGAACAAGATTTGTGTCTTTTTATGTCCAACGCACAATAAAGACACGGCTGGTTAGACTTCAGAGACGCTGAGACTGACCTGGTGAATTTTGCTGGTCAGTGGCAGCCTAGTGGGTCAGGTTTGGTTTAATCCATGAGAGAATGACAAACTTGAATGGAAAAGAGACGTCTTCCTGCCAGTTTATTGATAATATAAGTTTAGAAAGAAGTTTTACAATGAGTTTTAGGTCATTTTAGCATTTTATTGGTAACAAAACTATTGAAAGAAGCATGAAAAATGTCACGGGGCATGATTTAAACCTAATTTTCTCACATAAGCACCACTTCCCACTGTCTCTGGAGCTCATAGTTTTTTGCTATACTGTATCACACCTCTGTATGACTCTGAGAAGAACAAAAAATATATAAATTATCATATAAATACACTACTGTTCAAAAGTTTGGGGACAGTAAGATTTTTTAAAAATAAATTCATACTTTTATTCGGCAAAGAAACATTAAATTGACCAAAATTCAATTCAATTTAATTTGTACAGCGCTTTTCACGACACAAATCGTTGCAAAGCAACTTTACAGCAAATTAAGTTTCTACAATATTTAGTGGTAGCTTATCAGTGGTGACTGTCAGTTAATGTACATATGGCAGAAGACGTAATCAAACAGACGATGAACACTATTAACAGCAATTATTCTATGATGCAATCAAACTTATAGCAAACTTATAGCAAAAGTGACAGTAAAAAAAAAAAGTGAAAAATGTGTCACAGTGTCCACAAAAATATGAGCAGCACAACTGTTTTCAACATTGATAAAAATAAGAAATGTTTCTTGAGCATCAAATCAGCATATTAGAATGATTTCTGAAGGATCATGTGATACTGAAGACTGGAATAATGATGCTGAATTCACCTTTACCGTCACAGGAATAAATTACATTTTACAATATATTCAAATAGAAAATAGTTATTTGAAATTGTATTAATATTTCACAATATTGCTGTTTTTAATGTATTTTTTACTAAATAATTGCAGGCTTAGTAATCATAAGAAATTTTAGATGCCTCTCTTAATGCCTTTTTGATATGGCATATCAAATATTCACATTTTCATAACATATTCCAATATCAAATTGATTTAAACTGAAATAATTTCTATCATGACTGAGCCACAAAAGTGCATGAAAAAGTGCAAAAACTAATCGCTGTGTTTGTTTTGAGAGCACAAACACTATCTATATGCTGCGCTACCATGTACATGCCACAACAAATTAGTTTGATGGCTCTACTGGCATTGAGCTCATGCTGTATGTGAACATAACCCACAATCCCGTTTGTCCTCTCCTGCCTCTGAAACCAGAATGAGGTCAAAGTGTTCGCTCAACGCCTAATATAAAGCTCTTTAAACACTGCTCGGAGGCACTGATTAAAAAACTGAAATTAGATGCAAAATAGGCTGTAGAGGTTGAAGAAAAATAACTGAGAAAGACTGACAGATGTAGAGGAAAAGGACTTTGTGAAAAAAGTTTTCACTAAGAGGGTACAAAATAGGTCCCAAAACCATTTTAAATAACTGCATTTGTTTATATTTTTTTTGCAAATTTGCTATTACTAAACGTTTAAATACAGTTTAAAATCCTGACTTGTGTGATTTTGTTATTGTCTAGCAATAAATTCTAAATAAACATTAAAAATAAATATACAAAATATACAATAAACTACAAACAGTAGGGAAAAGCTAGTCTCTGTATTAAAAATTAAATTAAATTACATTTCTTCTGTCTATTTTAACACAATGGTGTTTGTGTAAAATACAGTTTAAAATCCTGACTTGTGTGATTTTGTTATTTTCTAGCAATAAACTTTAAATTATATATACAAAATATACACTATACCATAAACTCAGTAGGGAAAAACTAGTCTCTGTATTTTAAATAAAATAAAATATTTTTAACACTATGGTGTTTGTGTAAAATTTGAGAAAATGGAATAAAATTATTTACTTCTAGTCATGTTGTAGAAAGAATCAAAAATGTTACTTTTAGAGTGTTTTAAATGTTTTACAATTTTTGTAATGAGGTACATCATGTGGTAACAGGTATTCATGCAAAATGCAAACGCTGTATGAAAATGAACTAAATATAAATTCAACAAACAAAGACGACAATTGCTATATGATTTTAATTGACACTGATGACTAGAATAATAGCTGCTTTATCATCGCAGGAATAAATTACATTTTGAAATATATTAAAAGAGAACAGTCATTTTAAATTACATAATATTTCACAATATTATTGTTTTTACTGTATTTTTTGATCAAATAAATGCAGGCTTTTGATGGGCAAATACTGTAATATCCAATATATTATAATACCCAATACTGATATGTTCATAACATATTTCATAACTTGGACCATTTCTATTATGACCGAGCCACAAAAGCACATGAAAAAACTAAACGCTGTGTTTGTGTCTACTCTGTGTTTGTGGCAATCTCTGAACTTAATGTAAAACTCAATACCAGACAATAACAGTAGTCAAAAATAATATGTAATAGCTTATGAAACATATCTATTAGTTCTTCTCACAATGTGCAATCTGTGCCTTGACTGTTTTAAAACTACTGGATACCAAAGTGTGCCTTATTTATGGAAAGTGCCGGGAAGATAGACTGCAAGAATTGTGAAAAAGAAAGAAAATACAGGTGCGGAGAACGATAAACAACAGATAATAACAGAGAAGGAGAGAATGACAGTGGAGTCACCTGAAGTTGTGCATGAACTGTTTGAATTTGTCGGCTCTCTGGGACAGAGGCAGCACAATGTTAATGGGCATGTTGGCCGTCTCCACCAGCTCACTTTTCACTTTCATGAGGGGGCCGAAGGGGCGGAAGAGAAGCAGCCTGCGAAACTCCTGCTTCTGCTCTCCATGGAAGGTCAGCTCGTACAGCGTGCCCTTGTCCTTCTCAGCGCGTGCTATGCCTGCCGTGATGAGAAGACATTGAGAACAGTGAAGAAAAGAAACACCCACAAAAATTTCAAAGAAATCTAAAGCTCAAGGACAAATACTACAAAGATAAACACACAAACGTACAAAGACACAAGTGTGAAGGAAGACACCAAAACTACGAATGCAGACATTCAAAAGCCTGTCAAATCTCCAGAGGAAAGGAACGTTTTATTGCTCAGTGGTTCATGAGACGTGGGGTTCTCAGTTATGTTTGTATCAACTTTTGACTTCAGATACTGTCAAAGATCTTGTATATGGGCCATTCTACAGAATTGGTGCAAAATCAGAGTTGGAAACATCTTGAACAAAGTGAATTTTCCCCCAAATTTTTTATGTATGTGTAACCCCTCTCTCCCGGGTCCTCACCGCTACACCTCGTTCTTGTTCCGAGTGGGTCTCAAACCCGGTCTCCGGCATGGGACGCGGACGCACTAACAAAGAGGCTAAAGACTGCAGCCTCTAGCGTCAGTCGCTAGTGCGTCTCTTGAGATCAGGGGAGTGAGGTTTACCTGCAGAGCACCTACTCGCTGGCCTCCGTTACACTCACCCCTCTAAACCTCACTCCCATCCGGGTCACGGCACCAGTGTAACCCCTCTCTCCCGGGTCCTCACCCCCACACCTCGTTCTTGTTCCGAGTGGGTCCTGTCTCCGGCATGGGAGGCGGACGCACTAACAAGGAGGCTAAAGACTGAGGTTTACCTGCACAGCACCTACTCGCTGGCCTCCTTTACATATGCAAATTGTATAATATCCAAGGTACACATTTATAGTAATTGTGACGTTAATTCTCATATTGTATTTTCAGAAAGTTTTGGAATATTTTTCCTCTCCCCAAATTTGTCACTACCGAAACACAGTAATATATAATTTAATGTGAAGGGTTATATTGACCTATTAAGATTTTATTTACATCTACCTTGTAAATATATTTTTTGCTATTTTACTAAGGTAAATCAATATTAATTACAATTTTAACAATATTTAAAGTGTGATTTATAAGATTTGTTGTATTTTGAATCCAGTTTTCTTTGTAAAAGGCATAAAGTTGATCATACAGATTTCAAAGTTAAGGATTAATTAGTTTGAATTTGCATCGGACCAAACACTATCATAACATCTTAGTTGATAATTCAATATACTTTATTTTTGACAAAACATCCCATGTTTCGGTCGTGACAGGACATTTTCGGTAGTGACAGAAATGTTTTGGTAGTGACCACATCACATTACAGAATTTTAACTCACATACTAAAACACTACTAAAACATACTAAAATACAAAAAAATTGCATAACTGTACTAAAATTTTGTTTATTTCCCCCAAATAAAGGATTATGCGTTCCTATTTGTCACTACCGAAACAATGATGACATGTTTCGGTAATGACAATTTTAGATACTTTTGAACCTAGCTCAAAGATGTTAATCAGCACATGGTTAGCTAGCACAGTTCTGAACAGTGGTACACATACAAAAACTAAATGTTATGGAATAACTCCCAAAAAAGTGTGCTTAATTGCAGAAAAAAGGCGTTCGGTAGTGACGTTCCTTAAAGTTACACACAGATTTTCAGACTTTTGAACACATTTACCTCAAAATGACGGGACCTACAGTATCTAATCACACCTTGTAGCTATGAGAGAGGGGGACACAGGAATATTTCCTGATCATAAATTTATGGGTTTAGTTAAAATCAGTCTCAGTCAATAGACTGAAACATACACTGTTTCGGTAGTGACATGAAAATGCGGGATACATTTTTTACATAAAGTTTCTTGATTTACAAAGAAAATATCAAATAAATTTTTTTTGAACTTTTCAATATTGATTTCATAAGTTGAAATGTATGGGTTAGGGTTCAGGACAGCCACCTTCCAATTGTAAGTACCCAATAAAATGATAATTTTATATATAGGCCCATTAAGCTTACTGATATTTTAAATATTAGGGTTTCAATAGATAATAGAAGGATCTTAGGAAACATCTAACATTTGAATTCTTGAATGCTTTTTAAATGTGTCTTTTTCGTTGTGGGACAGCAGTTTGCACCAGTTCTGTAGAATGGCCCATATAGACACAAATGAGACAACAGTTGACATACAATAAGAGTTAAAAAGTGATCAAATTAATGTGAACATTACAGCTCAAATCATTTGGGTTCAGACATTTTGATGAGAAATGATTGAGTTTAATTTCAGATCTCTGACTTTTGATTGTAAACTTTGGTTTCTTGGCAAATTTGAGGAGAGTGTAAAACATTGTTGGGTCCTGAAAGAAAAAGTGTGTCTTATCCACTTCCACTAATAATTGAGTGGATTTTTTCATATTTGTATGTTTCTCACGAATATTTACAACCTAATTCATAACACATGAATTTGCTATTAACCTTATTCTAATGTTAATGAATCTGGAGTTTCCCAAATGAGTGACTGTGTGCTTGAGGTTAGTCATTTGCATAAAACACACCCAAACCATCTCCATATAAGGGCTTTCTAGGCAATCTTTCAACACTCAGCAAACATACAACTCTCTCTAAAGTCAGGCTTTTGCCTGAGAGCCCATGCAGCAAAATCTGCATTTGTTATATACGGAAATCTCGCAGCTCAAGCTACAACACAGCTTACTCTTGACTTTTTAAGATGACAGGTATGTATAAAATTTCATCAACATGATTATAAGGCCACCCAGAGTTTGTGATTTTCGCATTCGTAAAAACATCTTACACACTAATTTGTACATACAAATGCTTATCAGATGAGACCCACTGTGGCTAATTTAATCTTCTCTTCATTGTCTAAGAAAGAGATATTAATGAGATACAATTTGTTATTTTTCTTTCCTATTACAATATATTAAAATTAATAATTTAGAAGCATCACATAAAACCAAATGTTGGCATTAAGACTGAAGTAGAACTAGTAACTGATGGAATAAAACCTGTCACAGGAGGTCTTTTTAACATCTTGGTTAAGGCTGCACAATAATGGTTAAACCGATAATTACGATTATTTAAAAAATATATATAATTGTGTTTATTAGTCATAATTGTTTTCATGTCTTTTTAACATTTCATCAGAATTACTGAACTTTCATGTAAGCAAAAGCAAGAGAAAATCAACTCATACACGTTTTATTTGACCTAATTTTCCTGATTTATTATATTTATCATATACAGTAACATACTCTCTGAGAATTTATAAAATCTTAAGAAGCTTCTCTCAAAAGCTAAAGCAGTGAAATTCCTAATATTAGTTGCAATAATAATTCCAAATTATGCTAACCAATGCAAGATAATGAAATTATTAAAGGAAAAAATCAGGATAAATAACCAGAAGGCCAATGTCACAAATAATAATGCTTAATTAATCGAGAGAAGCAGAACTTGTGATCACAATTGAATGCAATTAAAAGTGCAGCCCTAATCTTGGTTGTCTCTCCTAAACAGCAGTGGACTGAATGGAGAACATATGGAGATGTTCGTTGAAGTCTCCTGCTTGTCATTGCAAAGTCTGCAATGAAAAGTCAGATTTCAGTTCGAACCCGTGCATTTCTCATCAAATTCTTTGAAGATCAAATGATAAGAGCTATGCTGAGACATGGAATTATGATATGGGATTTTTAGATATCAGGAGCACCAGGTCATCTGAGGCTTGGGTAACATCCCTGGTTATAACTTACACTAAAAGCATCTGGAAGATGGTCATGCATGCATGGAGACGGTGAAAAACAGGATTTCACTCAGTACTTTCATGCTTCTGAAAATGATCCAAAAAAATGAGAGATCTGTACTGTACGGCATCAAATGTGCATTGTTCAGGTCCCATATCAGTGTTTTTGCTGGTGCTATAAAAGGCACAAAGACTCTTACTATTGAGGAAAAACACGCTCATGCAAGGTTTGCATGAAACATTCCCAATTGCTTAAGGGACGATCATGTTGAGGAAACAAAAGAAAATCATACTTCACAGCTTCATACTTCATTAGCTTTGGTAGCACAGTGTGGAAACACTGCATTATGATCTACACTGGGAAATATGTGCATCTAATTTCTAATAAATTTGTGGAAAAGTTGCTATGGTGTTCTAAACTGTGTTTACAATGTTTCTGTACAAGCTTGTCCAAATCCTTAACCCTAAGAAGCAACAGTAGTGATGCTTGCCTTCACAAACTAGCAAACTGGAATAAATCTCACGTCCAGCCCTTTCCATCCCACACATAAAATGCATTTATGGGAAAAGCAGGGCCATTAGGGAAGCCATCTGAATCAATACAAGCTACTAATGGCAAAGACATCAAAGCGTAACCCGCAGGCTCGACTCCACCTCATTGAAAAACTAGCTACGGTAATTAAGACGCAACTGTTCTTCGCACAACAAAATCACGTGAGTTACTGAACACGGGTAATATTAGCTCACGGTAAAACTGCACTTTTAGCATGAACTGTGATCTTTTTTCCTCTCTAAATTGGATTGTGTCACCACAAACTTGGTCTGGGTAAAGGAACACTAGTTAGCCAGCAGAGGATAATGAGAGAGATACACGCATCCCTTGAGGGACGGGGTGGGAGAGTTATTTTGTGGGTAGAAAAGATATGCTTTCTGTAAACATTCCTGTTTGCTGAAGCACCGTTTCGAGTGTAATGGTCAAGCTTCCTGTGTTGTTTCAGGACTGAATATTTTTAGAATGTCCAACAATATTATTCAGTCTCGTTCAGTGTTAGCAAGACGGCTGGGTAAATTGACATTGTGTCTGGACACCGAGTTGTAAATTATTACAGACATGGCCTTGGCTCTCTTTGAATTTTTCACAAGCTCTCCATTGCTGATGTGAAGTAGAGTGGGTCTATTCGGGTATACAGAAGAGCTAAGAGGAGGCTCGAATTGAGAAGAAATGGTCTTTTATTTAACTCTTTTTCCCACCATTGACAGAATTTTCATTTTTTTACTCTTATTCAGTAGGAGGCATATTACACATCTTCAGAAAGAGTACTGAATCTTTGGATCAAAACACTGTGAAGAAGAAGCAGAAACAAGTGATCTCATATGTAAACAGAAGCATGTAAAATAACGCGATCAATAAACATTAAACAGCATATAAATCAACTGCGTGCTGCTAACTGTGTAACGTTAGCGAATAAAATGTTGACCCAGTAATATAAGACTTAAATTTAAAAGCAGAGGCAAGGTTCTGTCTTTTGACATATTGCATGTTCAGATATTCAGACAGCAAAATATTCTGGGGGATATGAAATTTTTGTGAAAATGATAAAAAATACTGGTGGTGGCTGGCAACACAAAAAAAACGCTAGCGGGCAAAGAGTTGAAGATGCACCAAATAACAAATAACTCAGGACCGTTAGTGTATTAGACAGTGAGAAATTAATATTATGCAGCACTCCTCCTAATATATTCTTGTATAAAAACAGGATTAAGGTTTATGTTGTGTTTTGGAAGCTTGTTTTGCTAGTAAACACCAGCAACAAACCTGCATAATCTAGCATGAAAATTCAGCAGTTGTTTGTTACGTTCATGTAAATCTCACCTTCTGTTTTCAGTTTAGCTAACTATCATTGCAGTCACCTAGCCTTGTAGAAAGTTTGTTCATGCAAATTTTGCCATAGCTCATTTCTAGCATTTCAGTTTCTGGTGCTGAGAACAGTTATTTATGACTAAACAAGGTGCATAGCAACATGAATAATGTATTTCCTGTAATGCCTATAACCAGTGAGATGCGTCACTTTCTCTCTGGAAGAAACGGCAGAGATGAGACAACTCTGAACATGAAACAGCTGTGTACATTTCCTAGAGTCATCACAGGATATCCTGGCTTTAGCGTGTTAGCATACTGCTACAGGATGCTCTATTGTTTTGCTGATTTGGTTCTGAGGATACAAGAAACACACTGTACAACTCTTTCAACGTGTTTCAGAGATTATTTTGAGAGCTTTTCTCTAAATATGTCAGACAAGCTCTGGGCTTTATCGATGGTCCAGGGACATGCAGAGTTTTCCTGTGAAGCCCTATTAGAGGTGAAGTGTGTCATCTCGGGCTCTAGCAGCACTAAATGAAATAGCAAAAATAATGTTTCCAAACAGGCAACCAAAAACCTCCTACCATCCTTTCCAACCCACTTTCAAATTACACCATGCAAGCTGTCACACTAAATTCATGTTAACACGCATCTTGTGGCTATATAGTTCTATTGAAACAGTGAGTATTTTAATGTTTACATATTGGCTGTCTATAGACCTTAGTCAGGTTAGACACCATACTGAATTTAACGTGGATGAAAACAAGGCTGAGGGATAGACTTTAATGGCACACGCCGTATAAAGGTCCTAGAGAACGTCATTTTCACAATTCACAATTTTCAAAACTAATTTATTGAGTTTTTGTCTTCACTAAGACAAAAAAGTAAAGACTTTTCATCAGCTGAACAATCGGAATGTTGTTAAACAACAGTACAATCCATTAAACACACAGTACTTCCATCCCTCACAGCCTTGTTAATAGCATGAGTAGTATATTGGCTGCTTATTAGTAGTTATAATGCACATTAATGCTTTATTCTACATGACTAGATCCCTTAAAGGGATAGTTCACCCAAAAATGAAAATTCTGTCATTAATTACTCACCCTCATGTCGTTCCAAACCCGTAAGACCTTTGGTCATCTTCGGAACACAAATTAAGATATTGTTGATGAAATCCGAGAGCTTTCTGACTGTGCACAGACAGCAACGCAACTACCACATTCAATGCCCTGAAAGGCATTAAGGACATCTTTAAAATAGTCCATCTGACATCAGTGGTTCAACCATAATTTTGCAAAGCTTCGAGAATACTTTTTGTGTATATAAAATAAAAATAATGACCTTATTCAATGATTTCTTCTCTTCCGGGTTAGTCTCAGACGCAATTTACGAGAGTAGCACGATGGCCCTTTGCGGTCAATGCAGGGTCAGAAAGCTCTTGAATTTCATCAAAAATATCTTAATTTGTGTTCCGAAGATGAACTAAGTTCTTACAGGTTTGGAACGACATGAGGGTGAGTAATTAATGACAGAATTTTCATTTTTGGGCAAACTATCCCTTTAATCCTAACCCAGGGGTGCCCAAACTCGGTCCTGGAGGGCCACTGTCCTGCAGAGTTTAGCTCCAACCCCAATTAGACACACCTGAACCATCTAATCAAGCTCTTACTAGTCATACTAGAAACTTCCAGGCAGGTGTGTTGAGGCAAGTTGGAGCTAAACTCTGCAGGACACCGGCCCTCCAGGACCGAGTTTGGGCACCCCTGTCCTAACCCCATACCTAAACTTAACAACTAGCTTTCTAACTATTAATAAGAAGCAAACTAGGAGTTTGAGGCAAAAGTTTATTCATAGTCATAGTTTACAATTAGTGTAATTTATAGTTAAAGGTTAATAGTGAGAATTGGACCTTAAAATAATATGCCACTGTATTTTCTGCATGGTCGTACACTAGGTACTGTTGAAGCACTGATTTTTAGCATAGTGGAAGCAAATACTGGTTAACTGCATAATTGTTACTCTTACCTTCTATAAAGTCTGATGGTGTGTAGACTTTGCTGGCTTTCGCTTGGTCTCCACCTTGATTTGGCACATTGAGGGCATGTAGCGCACTCTCCACCACCTCCCCCAGCTCGTCCCTGCGGTCCTTCCTCACCGGCTTCTCCTCAGGGTGACGGGTCAACCCCATTTCCAGCTGGTAGACGCGTTGTAAGGTGAAGCTCTCAAAGGGCACCACGGCGTATTCACTCGGAAGTCTTACCCCAGAGTGCACCTCTGCCCGGCTCAGCTGGCTGCGTAGGAACTCCTGCAGGTCGCTGTGACTGTGGTCGTCAGCCACGTCGCCCACCGTCCCCTTCCCAGCCGTCTTCTCCACAGAGTCCTGCATGCCTTTAAGTTGTTCGCTCCGTTCCTGGAGAGCCTCTTTGAGTTGAGCAATTTGTTTTTTCAAGCTGGCAATATGCTGCCGGTGCTGCTCTTCGCGCTCTTGGAGAAGGGCTTGGAACCCTTCCCGTCCAGCAGGGCCGATGGGGGCACCTCCAACCCCACCAGGCCTGCTTGGACCTCCTGGCATAGCCATCCCTCCAGCCCTGGGCAGGGGTTGCCCAGCCATGGGCTCATCAGCATGGGGGCTGCAAGTGATGACATAAAGGAGGGAAAGACAACAGCACACCACCACTAACAGAACACCCACACGTGAGAGCCAGGCCAGAAGACCCCTGCGCAGCATCACAGCTGACAACCTCAACAACAAGGTGGGTAGGATGACGCAGTTCAAGAAAGTTGGGGCATCTCTGCGTACCATCAAAAACAAGACAAACAGATCAGCCAACTGCCGCACATACCAGAACCACTTGTTGAAGTCACTAGGGTATGTCTTTGATTAAAACGAAGAAGAACTGTTTATGTTTTGTCTGTCGACTAAAGTCTCATATTTCCCAGGTGTAGACCACAAAGCAAGTTTTGTTCAAAACTTTACTGTCGATTGCCATTTCATCCGCTTCAGCCTGGCTCTTCATGCACATACTTTGTCATGGGTCAAGTTACGGCCACTTCCTCTTCTTCAGGGTCCTATTAGTCCTCCGTCCAGATAAATGAACCATTGGACCAGTTCAGTAGCGACATGCGCGTATCCATCTGGTGAAAATTGCTCATTCTTCTTGGAATTAGCGTGACAGACCCTTGAGAGAATGTCTGGAATGGATCCTCCATTCTACAGCGCTCCCAATGACCCAAAAGAGGAAACCATTCTTTGAAGGTTTAGCCATTAGACGTCCATGGCTATGGTCCATAAAATCTAGTTTGGAGGCTGGTCATTTGCCATCCGTTTCTTTTAACTTCATACAACGGTCCAATGTTGTTGAAAAGTCCAAAGAGGCAGTCTGTATGACGTCCTTAATCTATTCAGAGTCCTATGCATGTTTCATCAGGTGTTGCTTCTAATCTTCACAGGTCTATCTAGAAAAAGGTACAAAAAAGGAGATTAAACTGATTATGTTCTTTAGAACCAGATCCGTAGGCGGATGAAGGTCTCCTATATGTTAATCAGCCAGACTTCAAAATACATCAACACTGATAGCTTGGTGTTATCATACCATTAAAAAGACAAAATTGAGCTGTTACATGATGATGAGGTGAGGCCATAGGGTTCAAGTCAGTCTATCTAGTTAGCAAACACACTGTGTTTATTTTAAAGTTACCTAAAGGTCTAAATACAGGACCTACGCAGCCAAGCAAAGCATTTTGGGATGGCTCCAGTGCAGGAGAACAGTGCTGTCACTGATGTGTGAAAATAAGAGATGTGTGTTAAAAGCAGTCTTATGGGAACACGCCAGACAACTCAGACTGGGGATAAACAGCCACACTGTAAGTTTGAGCAAACACACACGAGAGGCCGAACATTCATACACGCACACACACGCAAACACGCACATATGCATGCAGTCACAAACACATGTGTATCTGTGACTGGGGGAAAACACAGAAACACTGTGTTAGGAAGCTGGAAAACTGTGGTGGTAAAAGATATAGCGTGAAAAAAAGAGAACGTAAAGAGATGTAGGATTCTCTGAATATGTGTGAGTGCTTGTGTGTGTGTGTGTGTGTGTGTGCTGACTCACCACACAATTAGCCCTTTATAGGTTAGTGGGAGGCTTGATTTAATGAAAGGATTAGTTATGTTAGTGGTGAATACTGGACTGTATCAAGGAGAGTTGGCCACAGACCAGCACCGAGGAGGGGGATGTCTATTTATCTGAGACTGGCACTCAAATATGGACTGACTCAATTATTCAAACACTCCATCCATCATTTGGCTCACTCACCTATTCATCCAGTCACTTTTACATTAATTTATTCACCCAATAACTCATTCATTCATTAATTTACTCCTTCAATCACTCATTTACTTACTGATTCATCCGATCACTTATTCTTTGATTCATTCATTCTTTCACTCACTCAATAATTTATTCAATTAGTCAAGAGGTGTTCCATTCCACACTAGTGGACTTTATAGGGTATTCCACCATCTTGCATTCATGTTCAGTTTGAAGAACACTACAAATGTCATAGGGAATAAGGGAACATTGATACATTCCTTTACAGGAAGCGGAGAGGGAAATTCACTCACAAGTTATTGCACGGCTGCTTCCAGCACTGCAAGAATTGTGACTAAAATAAACCCAATGAAAAGGAGTTGAGACAATTTTATTGAGTTTATTTAGTCACAGGTGTGGGTTGTACGTGACTGTATGTGGGAATAAAATGCGAGAGATGCAACAGTTACAAGACAACTATATAAAACTAATATGAAAAGACACATCTAATAAACCCAAAGTACATTTATTTTCTAATTACATTTCACAGCATTTATAATTCAGTTTAGGGCTTTTAAATTTGACTTTTTATATGAATTGAAAATGTATAATTAATATCCTGCATAAAAACTTTATTCATTCATTCTTTCACTGACTGATTCAATTAAATCACTTCTTTGTTCATTCTTTCACTCACTGACTGATTCATTCAATCAACTATTTATTCATTCATTCTTTTACTCACTGACTGATTCATTCAGTCAACTACTTATTTGTTCATTCTTTCACACACTGACTGATTCATTCAATCAACTACTTATTCATTAATTCTTTTACTCACTGACTGATTCATTCAATTGATTACTGATTAGTTCATTCTTTCACTCACTGATTCATTCAGTCAACTACTTACATGTTGATTCTTTCACTCACTGACTGATTCATTCAATCAACTACTTATTTGTTCATTCTTTCACTCACTGACTGATTCATTCAGTCAACTACTTACATGTTGGTTCTTTCACTCACTGACTAATTAATTCAATCAACTACTTATTTTTTAATTCTTTTACTCACTCACTGACTGATTCATTCAATCAACTACTTATTTGTTCATTCTTTTACTCATTGCTTGATTCATTCAATCGATTACTGATTTGTTCATTCTTTTACTCACTGACTGATTCATTCATTCTTTCACTGACTGACTGATTAATTTAGCCAGCTACTTATATGTTCATTCTTTTACTCACGGACTGATTCATTAAATCGATTACTGATTCGTTCATTCTTTTACTCACTGACTGATTCATTAAATCGGTTACTGATTCGTTCATTCTTTTACTCACTGACTGATTCATTCATTCAACTACTTATTTGTTCATTCTTTTACTCACTGCTTGATTAATTCAATCGATTACTGATTCATTCATTTTTTTCACTCATTGACTGATTTATTCAGTCAACTACTTACATGTTGATTCTTTCACTCACTAATTCATTCATTCAACTACTTATTTGTTCATTCTTTTACTCACTGCTTGATTCATTCAATCGATTACTGATTCATTCATTTTTTCACTCACTGACTGATTTATTCAGTCAACTACTTATTCCTTCATTCTTTCACTCACTGACTGATTCATTCAGTCAGTTACAAATTTAGTACTGATTCATTCAATCATCTACTTATTCATACATTCTTTCACTCAGTGACTGATTAATTCAATTACTCATTCATTCATCCATTTTTTTCACTTAAAGAGTGATTCATTCAGTCACTTATTCATTCACCCTTTCATTCACCCACTGACTTATTGAATTACTTAATTTATTCTTTCACTCACTGACTCATTCACACCAGCACTCAATCATCCATGCAATCACAAATTTCGTTCACTCACTCACCCATGCAGTCATTCATATAATCACACATTTATTCAGTCGTTTCCTGACTTATTCATGCATTCACTTGCTCACTCATTCATTCATTCAGTCACTTACTCACTTACTCATCATTTTACATTAGGATTCATTTCCTCTTCTGCCAACCTATTAGATACCGTATATGACAGCAAAGAGCCGTCTGTTACTGCATAACAAGAGTAGATGACATTCAGCGACTGAATCTCTCTCAAGATGGTGATACAAAATGACTAATCTTTTCATTTCTATTCGTCTCATTTAAGAGCTCACACATGACTGAGGGAAAAGATGCCTCACACCATGTTACGCTATTCCAGCTCACTCGTACAGCCGCCAGGACGAGCACAGCATGAGTCTGCCAGCAATTCATTCTCCCCGCTGTGACCATGCCATACAACACCAGAGCCAAGACCACGAACCAAACACACGGCTGAACAACACTGAGGAAAGTTAGGAGGAGCTTGACAACCTTAAACAAATGAGAAAGAAAGACTTCAAATTTCTCTTCTGAAACAGAGTGTTGTTGTTTAGCTGTGATTAGCCTTCTTGTGAAGGGCTGTTTTTTAGATGATGGCCTATTCTGTGTTTATGCCAGTAAAACTTTATCATCACGGATGGAAAATCCAGCTGTTTTGGAACATGCTGGCTGGTTTCTAACTGGTCTAAGCTGTGTCATCAGTTGACTGACCAGCCACAATGCTCCAAAAACCAGCCTGAATTCCTTGATATAGTATGATCAAATGGTAGTTGGTTTGGTTGCTTGTCTATGACAATCTACCAGCTCTTAGACTAACTACATACCAGATAACTTGTTCCAAAACCAGATTTACCAGCAGAAATAAATTAGACTACTAATTTTAATACAATTACATACACAACATTTTGCAACAATGCTGTTAATGCCTTAATAAAACTTCAGTATCAGGTCACTATTTTCTTACAACTTCCTGAAAGATCTTAATCAGAGTAAAAGCTTGTGCGTGTGCACAAGCATTAGTTCAATTACTTTCACAAGCCCTGATCTGCAGACTCAGCTGCAGTTATACTATCTGGCTGTGGTGCGCAGTCAGGAAATGTTGTGTTTTTTTCCTCCTTTTGCAATTTTCATTTTCAGAGACTTTTGCTGACCCTTGTGCCGGCTGCAGAAAGAGTGTTTTTCACACATCTATAGATCAGACTTTAACACAGAGACACTTTGAATGCTTATGTCTCAAATATTCACATATGTACAGTATATGATAAACATGTTTCTGAATTAATTTTAATATTTTTGAGGGGTTGCATAAAGTAAAAAATGTCAGTGTGATACAACCGTCCAAATATCACAGTTTAGCAGAAAATGAATGAAATGTTTGAGATTTTTTTAACAAACCATCTTATTAGTATTAGAAAAACACTTGACTGCAAAAACAAAGTCATAAGATGCATGTTTGTGAAGGCTAATAAATGTCATAAATATCAGATTTGACCTTTTTATCACAAGGCAAAGTTCATTCACGTTATGTGGTGCAACTCCCCAAAAACAAATGATATTTATGAATTAATTTATGCTATCTGAAATGCAATTACCTTGACAAATATTTTTAAAAACCTTTTTGAAAATAATGATTAATATGTGTACACATGTATTTAAGGAGTAAAGAAAATATATTACTATTTTTACTTGATGGTTACACCACATGACATTTTTAGTTATTAAATAGAAAATCCCTCTATGCCATTTTATGCCATTTTTTCAAAACATTTCAAAACCACATGAAACTAATTATATATATATATATATATATATATATGTGTGTGTGTGTGTGTGTGTGTGTGTGTGTGTATGGATGTATGTATGTATGGATGGATGGATGGATAGATAGATAGAGCATTTCACACATTGTACATTTCTAAGAACTTGGCACTTTTTAAATTAGTTTCTGCCTTTTTTGCTGAAATTGAGCATCAACTACAATGTCTGCACTATACTTTACTGGCAAGACGGTATGAAAATAGACTGTCACACAGAAAGATCAAAGATGAAAGACAGAGAAGGAAATAAAAAAACCCTCAACAGCCCGTCTCACAGTTGCCGTTCACTGCAGCAACTTCTCTTTTAATCAAACCACTTCCTGTGTCCACAGGGCACGGGTGCCTGACATGGGCTTCCTGTGAGCCTCTCATTAAATTAGACAGCACCAGCTGCATGTCCACATCCATGTGCAAGTACAG